GGTAAGAGATGCTGAAAAACGTTTTTTTTTTCTTAAATTGCCGTGATATAGTCCTTTCAGGTGTAAAGTTTCAGCCCATTCTGATGCCTCCTTCCACTTATATCAACACATGTCCACAATGACTATTTTCATATAAAAATGCAAAAAAAACTCGGTTTTCTCGAAATGAGTAACCGGTATAGAAAAACCGATTTCATTTTTGAAATTAGAGGGGCATAATACTTCTAGGTGTGAAGTTTCAGCCAATTCTGACCACTCCTTCTATTTTTGTCCATCATTTGTATGGAGTCGCGGCACTGTGCGCCGTTACCTTCGTGACAACCACGAAAAATATTGAATTATCAAAAATATTACATACACTAACACATACATACATATCCACTGCAGGCATTAGGCGCTAATGCAAAGAAATTGCGCACCTCAGTAATTGTATGCCGCCGCACAAATAGGATGTGCGCCGTAACGTATTTACCTCCTCTGTAATTGCTGCTCAGCTTCCTATTCAAAGACAGTCTGTACTTTGCCAAGGCAGCTTTTATCAATAAGATTTCAATCAGCCGCCGATATGTTCGCACACTTTCACTAACTCTATTAAAATGTGTGTGCGTGTGTATGTATGTGCTTAGTTGAGTGAGAGTGCGTATAATGTGAGGAGGCGCAAGAGGTGGATGTGAAAATCATGACTGCTGCTTGTTTCAAGGTCTTCGCGCTGCGGTTTATTATGTGAATCAAGAATTTCGTCTTCTGCCCCTAACATCCACTTATTCACCAGTTCCTTTCATTCTTTGACAAAGTCCTTCCGTCAAACGTTTCTTGCGGGTTACACATATTTTCCTAATTGACAGGTAAGCGCTACATACTTACCCGCACTCTTAGGTTTACCTAACACATGTATGTACATATGTGCGTACGCCTTCACCTATATTTTCATGCTTACTTTCCCACCTTTTTTGCAACGACAATTGTTTAATGCCGCCACAATTTTTTTCATTCACAATACACTTATCCTGCCTAACCTTCGAAGTTCGAACATTACAAAACTTGCTTGTGGTATTTGGTGGGGATGGGTATATTATACATACAAATATGTGTTCTGTATGTACAGTAGGGCGGGTTGATTTGTATGGATGAAAAAAAAAAATAAAAATCGTATAGCAAAAACGTAATCTACATTAAATTCTAAGAAAATTCTCCGAAGAAACCATGGGTCTAAAATCAAACCCTAATCCGCGCCTCTCGACTTGAAAATTTTTTTCCTCTTCTTTCGTTAAAATTATTTTCTTTTTTTGAAAAATATTATGTTTTATTATATTATATTATAGTTTATGCAATACAGGTTTTGTTTTGAGACTAATCAAAATATTCAATTATCAAAAAAGCAGTTGAACTCCAATTTGCATCTCCTTTGATTTGCGTACTTGGGTGAATATTTTTTTTAATGAAAAAAAAATTTTGAGTGTAGAAAAAATATAAAGTGCAAAGAACAACCTTACTAAACAATTTTATTCAGGAAATTCGTTTTCTTTTTGGAAAAACCTATTTTTTCTAACATTTACTTTTTTTGGCAAAGGCGGCCATATAAATTTTCAAGTCGAGAGGCGCGGATTAGGATTTTATTTTAGATAGATGGTTTCTTCGGAGAATTTTCTAGAATTTCATGTAGTTTACGTTTTTGCTATACGATTTACAAAAAAAAATCAACCCGCCCTAATGTACAGCCTCAATGGCTTATTTTTCATGCAAATTGTATTTTCTTGTTCATAATTGCACTCTCAAGGATGAGCACAGTATATATTTATTGTGATTGGAAAAATTTGCGGTTTTTGATTCGGATTGGGGAGATTGGTAATTGTAAGTTGCTTTCAGACGCTATTACTGCCGAAAGGAAGCTTTATTTTTTGTATGGATAGGAAATTCAATTTGCCA